GCGGAACTTGCACGCTTCCTCATTATTACGTGTGAGCTAGAAACGGACACTCTAGGCCCGTTACATCGTACGTGTATATGTTTTGATCGTCCGTGAAGCTCGGGGTTGTAGCAGATTTTGATGCAGCTCTGATTATCCTCGTATATTGTGTTAGCCTGCGCTGTAGCAAAGCCAAGTTCGTTGAGGAGAAGTTTGAGGAATATCATCTCTTGCATGCAGTGACACAGGGCGATATATTCTGCCTCTGTTGTAGAGAGAACTACAGTATGATGCTTACGCGAAAGCCATGAGATAGGACCGCTAGCTAGCATTGTCACGTATCCTCCAATGGAGCGTCTCGAGTCGGGGCAGTTGGCGTAGTCAGAGTCACTGTAGGCAATTAGTTGATCGGCAAGGTTCTCCGATGTAATATCGGTCGAGCCTCCCAGAAGAAAACCGTATTCTTTCGTTCCAGATAGGTACTTTAAACCACGAATGACTGCTTTCCAGTGATCCATACCTGAATTCGCTAAAAATTGGCTAACCTCTCGCATGTAGAATGCCAAATCGGGTCGAGTGCCTACCATTAAATACATGACACTACCTACAGCTTGTCGATACGGAATCGATTTCATCGCATCTTTCTCTTGCTCACTGCTGGGCTGGCTGCTTACGGAAAGTTTAGCGTTCCGTTCTGCTGGTGTTGCAATATGGTACGGAATGTAGTCGCTGAAGCGGTCAATGACCTTCGTAGCGTACTTGTGCTGGTGGATAAACATCGTTCGGTTTTTTACGGTCACGTTGAATTGACCAGCCGAGTCAGTACTTCACCTCCCCTAAATCTGACATGGAGAAACGCTTTTTCAAGGCTGATTTCAGCTCACTGACGAGTGCTGGTGTAGGCGCAATGATCAGTAAGTCGTCGACGTACACTGCAATGTAACAGGTGATGTCAGCAACTGTGCGTCGAAATACGCATCGATCTTTAATGAGTTTCAGGAACCCGAGATTCTCTAGGAAGGCAGACAAGGTTTGGTACCATACACGAGGCGCTTGTTTAAGCCCATATAAGCTCTTAAGAAGTTTACACACTAGGTGCTCCTTGCCCGGGATTTTGAAACCTTCCGGTTGAGCCATGTAGATCTCATCTTCCAAGTAGCCATTAAGGAATGCTGTCTTAACATCCATTTGATGGACTTCAAAGTCGAGAAGAGCTGCAATAGTAAGAAGTAGTCTAAGTACCTCCATCCTGATGACAGGAGAGAATATCTCGCTGTAGTCGATGCCATATTCCTGAAGGAATCCTTTGATCACAAGACGCGCTTTAAAGCGGTCGATCTCGCCAGTGCCGGTATACTTTACTACAAAGATCCATCGGCTACTTAAAATCTTCCTTCCTTTAGGAGGGGATACCAACACCCAAGTGTGATTGTCCATGAGGGACTTGTATTCCGATTTAGCTGCTTTACGCCACTGGTTAGCGTGGGAAGACTTCATTGCTCCCCCATACGTAGTGGGCTCAGACACATACCGAATAGCTAGTAATGTGTACAGTAAATGCTGACGTTGCTCCTGTTCGTGTATGTCTTCCTCAGAGTTGAGGGTTACGTCATTGGCTTCCTCAGAGCTATCAATGGGTTCCGCAGAGAGGCGGGGTCGCTTAGGAGTCGAATGATGCGGAGGATCAGAGTCCGTTTCTGTTCGAAAAGAATAATGTATGGCTGTTCGATCAACAGCCTCCCTCAGTGAGGGCAGTACACGTTGGTTCACTGTGCCTGGCACTGTTGTCATTGCAGGGCCTGATGTGGGTGACGGTGTGATCACTGCTTCTGACACATGTTCAGGCTCCGGTGCTACTGTAGTAGCAGTTGCAGGTGGCAGAGGTACAGGTGCAAGTGTAGCGGTAGATTTCTGCCGATTCGTGGACTGTGTGGGCTCTGGAGTAGACGTCAGGCCTGTGAGAGAGGGAAATTCGTCCTCTTTAAAGACTACATCACGACTGTAGATAATTGCATGAGTATTGATGTCCATCAGACGGTAGCCTTTCTTATGGTCAGGCACACCAAGATACATACACAAACGGGCTCTAGCGTCGAGTTTGTCTCGGTATTGCTCCGTGATGTGGACATATCCGCTGCATCCGAATACTTTGATGTACTGCATGGATGGAATACGGTTGTGCCAAAGCTCATACGGGGCTCGTCCATCCGTCTTGGAGCTAGGAGTCATATTGATGAGAGTGGTCACATGACAGACACACTCGGCCCATAACTGCGTCGGTAGCTTGCCGTCAAGTAGAAGGGCTCGGACACGCTCCATAATGGTACGCATGCGGCGTTCTGCAACTCCGTTTTGCTGAGGTGTGTATGCATTGTCGAATGGGGCGTGAGTTCCATACTTTTTAAATATGATGCAGCCAAGCTTCTCGTACTCTTTAGCGTTGTCTGCTTGAAGCCGCTGAATCTCAAAGTTACCCTGGTTTGCATTGTCTTCAACACTGAACACGTACTCTATGACAGATATATCTTGTCTAAAATTTTCAGGGCTTTCTTCCGGAAGTCTTCGTAACAGCCATACAGCTCGCTACGGTTCTTAATTGCATAAGTGAACATGAATCGAGAAAAGTCATCGATGAAGATCAAGAAGTAGCGACAACCAGTAAGGCTAGGCACAGGTAGTGGACCACAGATATCTGATTGGACTTTTGACAAAGGTGATGTAGCACGCTTATCAACTCTATTAGAGTAGAATGGGGAGCGGTGTGACTTCGCTAACGTGCAGACAACACAAAAGATATCTGTCTTTGGGACCTAGAGGTATAGATCCATCGAGTCCATGTATGGCCTTGACTCCTAGATAGGTCATACAAGACACGAACGTTAGGGTGTCCTAAGGCGTTTATGTAAGAGCAGAAAGGGAACGGTTGCTTACCTGAGGCAATAGGAGCCGCTGGAGGTGCCGCTGGTTTGACTTAGCAACTGGATACGGATCCGTGTGGTAGTCATGAGCGCTTTGATCTTGAAGCGCTGGTCAGTTTGCATAGAGCACTGTTGCGGTCAAAGTTGAAGCGAAAGTCGTGCTTCACAGCTGCTGGAATTGAAAGCAAACTGAATTGGAGCTGGGGAGCATACAGGACGCCATGGAGGATAAGCTTCTGCATAGTGCCCTTGGAGTCAGTGACTTCCAGATCGACCCGTCCAATGCCTTCGATGGGGATTTGGTTATTACCACCAACCGTAATGAATCCACCACTGGAGGTGATGTCGGTAAATCACTGAGACTCATGGGTGACGTGTCGAGTGCAGCCAGAGTCGATTGTCCAGGTGGGATCGGGTTCTATCTTGGCTTGAGCAGTGAGGCTAAACGGGAGATTGACTGTGGTAGCAACAGCGATGAGACCGGTGTCACGACGTCCTTGGCGAGTTACCTTGCGGTTGTTTCCAGAATCACTGTCGTCGTCATCGTCATTGTCTGACTCAAGCGGGTGGTCCTTGTAGCGATCTTGACCGCGTTGTTTGCCGCCATTTCCGTGCTTGTTCTTGCTACTACTGTTGTTGCCCTTGAAGTCGCGGTTGTTATTATTCTTGCCGTGTCGCCCATTGCCACCTTTGTTCGAGTTCTGGTACGGGTGATCGCGTTTCGAGTTACCCTTGAAGGCGAAGTTAGCAGGTAGCACTGTCCCAGCCTTCACTCGTCCATCTCGCAAATCCTTTTGAAGGCCTCGGCATTGGCGAATGTTGTGGCGTGGGCGATCACAGTAGGAACAGACATTGGCGCTGTCACGGCCTTGAGCTTGTGACACAGGAGGTCCGGTAGCCACTAGAGCTCTCTCACCCTTGGTTGCAGAGGACTCTGGTGTGCCCTTGGCCAAGGTGTAGCGCTCTTGAGCTTGAAGATCGCGAACCTTGCCTTCAATGCTCTGCTTGAGGTCTTCATACGGGATATACTTCCGCTGGCCCTTCCAGATGCGGAGATCGTCCTTCCACGACTTGGGCATCGAGTGGAACAGGTAGATAGACTTCTGTCCCTCGGTCATCACCGATTCGGTGGCTTCTGACGCGGCTTTCATCGCGTTCTCAAGCTTGAGAAAGAACATCAGTTAAGTCGGATCCTTTCTCATACTTGATCTCCATCAAGTAGTGTTGAATGAAGTACGGATCACCATGAGAGGCTGCTCCCTCGTACTTCTGGCAGATGTAGCTGAAAATCTCGAAGGATGTCGTGAGATTCTTGACGAGCCGCACGTGCATGTTGTCCATCGTCTTCATCAAGAAGGCTTTGGTCTTGGCTTCTTGTCGACGGCGTTCGCGCTGGCTAAGAGGCTGGCTCTTCTCTTTCTTGGCGCGTTTGCGTGCACGGCGAGCCTCGCGATGGCTAAATGGTCGAACTACCGGGAGGTCCTTCCTCTTGATTGACGTATCGGAGCTGGCTCCAGAGTCTTCGTCCGAGTCCGAGGGCGGCTTGAGCTCGTCGTCGCTCTCGTCGTAGTCCACAGCGTCGGAGTCGATTTCGACGTTCTTGGTAGTTTTGGCATGCGGTTCATCGTTGGCATCAGACATATCGCTGCCACTGTCTTCACTCTCGTCTTCCGACACACCGTCGTAGTCGGGCTGCTTCACGTAGCCGAGTAGGTGCTTGCCATCTAGTGCTGCGCACACACGGGTCTTCCAGACGTCGAAATTCTCGGCGCCGATGAGACGTGGGAAGTCGTCGCTTGAGGCTTGGCTTGGGCTCATAACCTATAAATCGTATGACAGGTCGAGAAGAAGTAGGGAGAGGAAGAAGACGTTACTTGTAGGCGTCAAAAGACGAAGTGAGTACTTTATTAGTATTAGGAAGCCACCAATAGCTGTACACCAGCCATTAGTGTCTGTATAGTTTAAGCCAGTCATACCGACTTAAACAGGACCTCCTAAATCTCATTATAATATTTTGGAGTGACTAGGTCAAGGTAATCAAACTGTTTATTCAACACGACATACACACGTCAGTACTCAGACAAGAAACGTGCCGTGCATCTAATGAAAACGGTGCCGAAAGGAGTCTACGACCAGACCCTACCAGCGCCTCACAGCTCGCCCTTACACCCAGAGATCGATCACCTTGGAGTTGGCTTCGACATGCAGTTTGTACCGAGTCCTGGAGGGAGCAACCGGCAGCGTACTCAGATATTTGCTCACGCGTACGCTTCGGACAAACCACCGCGAAGCATTACGACTGAGAATTTAGAGACTCTGTCTTCAAATTTGGCACGACGTCGTGCTACACTGATGAACCCGGAGACGCGAAGCATCATGCGGATACTAACCGAGTCTCTGTCTCAGTTCGAGCGAGTAATTCGTCGTCGTCGCTTCGGGTTCCAGTCCTTCATTTACTTCCCGAAGGAATACGCAGATCCACTTTTGGAGAAACGGTGTCTGATCTGCAACAAAACGTTCCACTTCTTCCGTCGAGATTTCTATTGTCAACTCTGTGGCCACATGGTGTGTGGAAATTGTTCGGAACTCCACGAGGTGGAGGCTCGTATCGGTGAGATTCGCAAGAATCGATGCTGCCGGTTGTGTGTTGTTCGTGTGGATGCGTGCAAGTTTGACGACGAGGATTTGTTGGCTGCTTTGGGTCCGATGATCGTGGAGACTCGATCGGACGCGTGGTTGCCAACTGACTCCATGAGTTCAATTGATGAGGAGGACAAAGATCTAATGGGACAACTGTGTTCAGACGACTCTGAGGCTCGTAGTCACGCATTGGAACAGCTAGGAAAGCTGGTGGCGAACTCGTCGGTGACCGAGCAGTCTTCTGGGAGGCAAAAGACCCAGGTGCAGGATGTCCTGTCGAACATCGAGAGTCACTTAAATGAGGAACTCTCGAAAGCCCAGCATAATTATAGTGTTCAAGCGTGTGACGTCAGTGACCGTACGAGAGACTACAAGTACGAGTTCGACGCAAACAAAGTCACACACGCAGACATCCCATTGGCTCCGACAATCTGCCCGCAGAAGCTCGTCGTCTACCGCGTAACGAGGTTCCGTGTATGCATTCCGTGTATGCTGAGAAACCTCTTGTGATCAAAAATCCCCAGCGCGATATGCAGTTTGCTAAAATGCCTTGCGTGGACGACCTCGGGGTGAAATTCTACGCCGGGTTTCCATTGCGAGCTCCAGGTGGCGAGGTGATTGGGAACTTGTGCGCTCTTGACGGCACTACGCACAACCAGGCCTTCCGATAATACAACTGCAATGAGATTCTTGCCTTTTCGTGAAATCAGTACTTGCAGGGAAACATTTGATATTAAAAAATACGTAATTGTTATGGTTAGAGCAATATCACACCACTACTGTCAAGATACATCTCATCTGGATGCATTAACGACATCGGCGACGGTTTTCACATTCCAAAGGTGGCGATTTACCTTCAGAAACAGTATTATCTCGAGGTTGATAGGGAGCAGTCCTTGGCGATGGTTTCCCATGACATGTTTGGTTTGACTAAAAACCCGCTCGCACATGTTGGAAGTCGGCGGGATTACCGCAATTTCTGGGTACTCACAAGGCGTCTCACGTTGTAGTTTGCGTTCCTTGAGCGCTCGGTCCGCAAACCCAAGCTTCTTGCCCTCCGACAATTGTGGCGTCGCAACGCGAGAAGCGAACGGTAAGAGCAGTGAGCGCTGAGACTCCGTGAGATTATCAGCCTTTTCGGTGAGCACGGTAACACAGGCATCCTCGAACTCAGGTTGCTGGACGATACCTGCGTCCGAACCCAGGTACCCCTCGACACCAGGATGTTCGGCGATCAGCGCGTCGAAAGTGTCTCGTACGTCGAGAAGTGACAACCCGTCGGCACTTTGGAGCTTCTTCGAGGAGGATTCAAATGCTTTCAGCTCCTCAAGAAGCCCCCTCAGCTGGTTTATTTCGCGCCGCGACGGCATCAGCGCCGTCGTGGCGTCATCCATGGCATTAATTGCATCTTTAAATCAAAATAGCTTCGGACCATGTTAAACGTTGACGGCCACCGTGTTGTTTGACGGAGAACTGGCCTCAACTCGGTTTTTTTCTAAATTTTACCAAAACAAAATCCAATTAGGTAAATTACCGAAAATACAAAAAATACATTCTGCACTCACCGCAAACTAGCCGAAGCGTTTAGACTGCGTAATTTACGCATCAAGAGCTGGACTTTGTCCAGCAGATCCTCATAGCTCTTCATGTACTTCATGACAGCCAAGTTAAGGCGGTGGCTCGCACATCCCACGAAAGGAACCTTCATGATTGCAGCGATGGACCCATTCGTGGGACAGTTGTCCGCGACGATGTACAGCACGTCAGCCAAAGTAGCCCAACACTGCTTGGAGAAAAGAAATGTGAGCAGGAGCAGAATGGTCCACGATGTCATCATCCACAAGAGGAGCCATGGCGAGCAGGATCTTCTCCATCTTGCTGTCATGGCCGAAGACCCCAAAAACTGCCACATAATGCTCCGATTGAAACAAACATCCATCCCAAACAATGCCAAATTGTTTAGGGAGAATGCCTGAAATGTAGCTCTCCAGCGCTTTCACTACCAAGCCCATGTACTTCTCAGCTGTCTCTGGTGAGATCGTGGGTACAGCAGCATATTTAGCCACCGTCCCGTTGTCGAGAATAGCTGAATGGGAGATTGCATTTCACAATCCAGTCAATCCAGCTGTAGATGACTTGACTCTTCTTGTCCACGAACCCAATCAGGGTGCCACTGGCACGCCCACTGCTGGCAATGTCGACTGCATAGCTGGAGTGTTGTGCGCGAATGTGGCTTATCAGGTTAGTGTAGCCAGTTTTACTGTCTTGTTTGCGAATCTTGGAGCAGCGACAGCGAAAATATCCCGTCGGCTTATCCTGGTTGTCAAGAACGGGCTTGAAGAAGAAGTCACCGACTTGCTTGTTAGTGAAGGGAGCTGTCAAAGACATGGTGAATCGGAAAATGAGGAGGACTGAGCTCGACGCACGCCCAAGGACTTGCCAACCAACCAAACAGTGGTTGGCTTTCAGTTTTGCTTAGCTGGGATTGGGCAGTTTTGTGAAGCATGGGCTACAAATAATTTATGACGATACCGAAAATACGTTACTGAAAATTTTCATTATAACTGAAAAGTAAATTATTCCATACTAATATTTCCATTTTATTTTCACTGCAATGTATTATTCGGAAGGCCTGCGCATAACAAGTATACAGTACGAATCAGTTTTGTCCGGATGATTATCCGGTCCCTTAATCAAGATCGCACCATCGTCACTTCACTTAACGTCCTGAGTACAGTCAGTCTCCTCCGTAATGGCGTCGCTATCTCTCCGGTCTCTGTTGCGACGTGCTCCGTGTGCGCGCTTCCCGGTCGCCTCCTTCCACTCCAGCACGGGATCTCTCCGTACTCGTGCTACTGAGCGTTCTCAGACGGGTCCGTCCGTTTCCTCATCACACGACTCGACGTCGCCTCTAATCAGTGTTCGGAACGCCGCCACCTCGCATGGACAACTGGACGTGTTGCTGCCACTTCCGGGGGTAAAAGGCCTCACGCGGTTGGGACTGGATGACGCGGGCGCAAGTGTCCAGGATCTAATTGAGGCGGTGCGACACGCCGATGCCTCGTTAAAGGCCGTGGAAATAGCGACACCCGACGGCACCAAGCTTGCTCGCACTGTGCGCTTGGGCGAGCTCACGTCCATGGCCTTTTGCCTGAGACTGAACCACGTGAACGTGCTGGTTGAGAGCGATGTCGCTGCCATGGACGACCGGAAGGCCAGAGAGGAGAGTGTGGCCTTTGCGACTGTTAAGGCGGAGATCGAGAGGGACTCCCGACTCATTGTGAGTACAAAACCTCAATGAGGCAGCTGCTGTTTGAGGTAGATGACTTATCGGTTTTGTGAGTTTTAGTTGCCGCTACACGAGTTCTACCGCATGTGTCACAATGCCGGAGCGGAGGAGAAGGTGGCGACCAAATGGCTTCGGGAACTGCAACGTCGGAACCTCGTGGTGCACTTTGATCGGTCTCGAAATCCTCAATTAGAGAACGCGGTGATTTTACGGCCTTACGTGAGTACTTTAACTATTTGTTTTATCTGTTAAATGAGGCACTGAGCTAAATGGCGTCTGTCATTACTGCAGAGCTCGGAGAGTGTGCTGACGCTACAGAACGCGCTGGACTCGGAGCTGTACAACATCAAACACGACCGCCGAGTGAAAGAACGCCAATTGTCCGAGCTGAACAGCAAACTCAAGAAGCTGCAGCAAGTGGAGAACGAGGTGCACGTGGCTGCTCGTCGCATGCCAAATGCTCAGAAATGGGTCGGACTTACGGGTCTCACGGGTTTCTACGGCGCACTCATGTACTGCGTGTGGGACGTGTACTCATGGGACGTCATGGAGCCTATCACGTACTTCATCGGCTTCACGGCGGTGCTAGGCAACTCGTTCTACTCCAGCATCACCAAGAAGGTGCGAGCACTGATACTAAATAACTGTAGCGGGTCGTGGCATTGGTGTTTAACCCTGTTTGCTGCAGGACCCAACGTACAGTAACATGTGGCAGAAGCGATACGCAGATCGCGTGGAGATGCTCAGCAAGCAACGCAAACTCGACCCGGTTGAGCTCAAGAAGCTCAAGGCTTGCATCGCGGACCTCGAGAACGACGTCACGTTGCTCTCGCAGTGGGAAAAAGTGGACGTGGTCAACCCGAATTTGCACTGAGACTCGTAGCATTAAACTACAGTCTTTAAGTGTCGTAAACGGCAGCTTCCGACTCGGGGTCCAGCGAACGAAGCTTCCATTCCAGAGTTTGCAGTGTTTTGTCCGTAAAAATAGCATTTCTAAACAGATCTGATAAAAATATATTCAGTCAGGCATATCGCACTTTAGAGGTATCTACCAATCATATGTAATTGTTTAATAGGGAACCTTTATTTTGCAGAACGACAAAAAGATCCAAGCGACCATGGCGGCGAACCAGAGCATCAAGGAGCTGATGGCGGCCGAGACTAAGGCCTCCAAGATCATCAGCGAGGCACGTCAAGGTGCGCATCAACCTGCCATTCAGATTTGTGCCTTTGTGAAGTTGTAAAGCGCTTTTTGTGAGTTTTAGAACGCGGTGAGCGACTTAAGCAGGCGAAACTGGAGGCGGAGGCGGAGATCACAGCCTACCGCAAGCAAATGGAGCGCTCGTTCCAGATGAATGGCAACACTGACGTAAGGGACACTTAGCCCGATATTATGAGAACGGAATGAGGTCCAGAAGGACGTATAATTTATTGTTGTAATTGCAGCTTATGGGAGACGACCCGAGCATTCTGGAGGAGGAAACCCAGCGCGACATCAAGAAAATGCAGTACGTTTAATTTTTTATTTTTATTTTGTTGGAGTTTCATGTTGATTATTTCTTATACTTGTGTTGCAGGGCGGAGTTCCAGCAGAACAAACAGTCGGTCATCACCATGATGGGGCAGCATGCTGTTCGTGTGCAACTTCGCGTACCTGAGGCGCGTAAAGTTTAGTTGGAAGGAGTCAGGTGGACGTGGAAAAAGTCGGAGCTACATATATTTGAGGACTTTGAGCAGTAACCAATAGCTGCCTCCTTGTTGAAGCACAAGACACTTTTATTTCTTTTTATTTGTCGACTCTTAGGGTCTTTTATGCCGCAATGGTAGGTCGGTTAAATGATTACTCCGCGCTGTTTAATGGTGCAGACCTTAAAAAATCGTCTGGTACGAACTCGTACCCAACTGTAGATAGATAAGTGCCGTTAAACTACTACTTTGCGGTGGCTACAAGCTTGGTCGAGTGCAGGCTTCATTCGCCTGGCTGTTCACTGTTTTCAGCCGTTTCGTCTTCGAGAGCATTCTCCGCTTCGGATGCTTCGCCAGAGGGTGCTCATGGTTGCGTGAAAGTACCTCGGCGCGGTGTTTGTTGAGGTTGCAGATTGCAGCCCGACTCACCTGATACTCTTTTGCCAGCGCTGATTGCTTCTCACCTTGAGCGATACGCATCAGGATTCGTCGTCGATCGATCTCGCGCAGATACCGCGACGTCTTCGGGCGTGACTCACTTAGTCCACGAACACGTTCAGGTACTCGCAAAGTCGGACACGACGTCTTGCTCCCTCCCAGACTTGTTTTAGATATGTGCTCAATAGATTTCGTGCCCCTGTTGCCACTCTTGTGAGTGGTAGTCAACGACAACCACTCTGGTTCCGGGGAGATGGCAGCACTCACACTCGCCGTTTGACGCGGTGGTGTCCAGTACTCTCTAACGGTTGAGTGACGTTGATCCGATTCGTAATTAGGGTCACGTACAGATGAGATGAGGCCGTTGGCCTGCATAGCGTTGTGTCGTCGTAGCAAAGAAGCCATGCCGGGGAGTCTGTCAACGTGGCCTTGGCTTGGAATTCGGCTATTCATGCGCTCTTCGTAGCGAACAAATGGCTGGCGGGGGTGTAGGTACATGTGATATTCACTTCTTACAAGTGGCGAGTCGGGGAGGCCTTGAAGCAGCGACGGGGAGGAGTGGGGATGGTCGTATGGGGCCATTTCAGTGTTCGAAATCCAAATTCAGGGTCGTACAATGATGAGATCCACCTGAGGTGGCGTGGCCTGTCGATGGATAAAAATTGAATGAAGAAAAACCAGCGAAGACAAGTGAAGTCGGTTTCTGTCTATAGCGTTTTTTTTTTTTTCGTGAGTTCCTGGAAGATGTCAGACATATAAAATGCGAGCGAGTTGCATTCTTTGGCATTTGACGTTGAAGTTCGGCCGCCCAAGGAGCATGCCGCAACGCCGTCTTATCACGGCGGTCCCATATTTGCATCGATGGTGATTCCTTTGGCTATAGTCTGGTCTTCAGGATAAATGAATGCGACATCTCGTCCGTCTCGTGGACGCTTGGGATAGTGGAAACGAAGTCGAAACTGTACTGGTCGCAACCAGTTCTTGTGGGAGGTGCAACGTACTATTAGTAGACCTTTCGAATGAGCGACTTTCGCCGTTTTTAGTACAAAACGAGGTGCTGGTCAGCCAGGATTTAACACGTGTGTGTGGCTGTGAACAGGCACTGATGTGTGGCGGGTTGGTTAAGTGCTGATCGCCTTCCGTTGCTCGCGTGCGACGAGTTTAATGAAAAAAAGATCGATGCAATTTGGAGATCAAACGGCTTGTTTTCGGGTGTGTGGTGCCCTTCCGATGTGTCGTGTCAGCTATAGTTGCAACACGTGGCAAGGAGCTGAGAAAAAGCAACAGTTCAAATCCATCTTTTATGCGATTGTGTGTTGTAGTTCCATTTTCAGTTAACGGATAGATTCTGCCAACGTGTCAGCTTTTGGCAATCGACCACTGGAATGGTCGTGCTGGCTGAGTGTGTCGAAACGAATAGATGTTCACTGAATGAAGTAACATTTCCGTGGCTCGATGATTTAAATGTAGAAGAATGTCGAGGATACCGTATCCACCGGTTCCATCGGACAGACGCACTAACATTCATTCAGTCCAAGTGAAAGGGTTACCTTATCCGACTCGATCTCGTCTGGTGACAGCGTGTGCTTTGCATTCGTCGGCTTCTTTGATGTTCGTGTCAATGTGAAGGAATCGCCATTGTACATGTCTGTCTCGAAAACATTTCGCCCGACATTATTGTCGCGAGCAGGATTCCATTAGCATGCTGTACGTAATTTTAATAGCGAATGAAATTCTAATCTAATGATTTTGAAGAAACTATTTTGAAGAGTGGTTCTTAAGAAAAAACGTTTTTACTACATGTACTTGAGTGCAATGGGACGTATCCTAAACATGTCGAGTTATCTTTCTCTTTTTTAGCATTAAAATATTTAGCGTGCCAGTAATTTGTGGCAAATTGAGAATGTAGATGATATCAATCACGCATTTCGCGAGCTGTGTATTATCAGCATGCGTTCGCGGAATAACAACTCGCTTTCAGGGTCGTTCTTAACCACGCCATGCCATGCCATGGCACGAAATGCTGTGATCCGATTGGATGAGCGCTTGCTAGGGCTAGAGTTTAAAGTAAATGAAATGACAGAAAGTGCCACGGATGGCATTTGCAAGTGTCATGACAAGGGGCGATTGCCATGTGCCATGCTACGTTTATTTTCATTAATGTATGTTCTAAAAATAGTTTTCATGATGGCACAGTGGCAGGTCAATTCTATTCGTAACCACGCCATGCCATGGCTCAATTTCTAGTGCCATGGCATGGCACGCGTGGCAGTAGTTAAGAGCCACCCTCAGGAACTACAAAAACTGTGTGTTAGTCAATTAGATCGAGATGCTACTTCAGTAGCAAGGCCCTGGTGTCGTCCAATCGGTGCATAGGTCTACAAAACCCGACACCGACTGAGATACCAGTGCCATAGTACCCAGGGGGGAAGCTTACTCGCGAGTACAAAAAGGATGATCTCCGAGTACACACACAAAAAGGATGACTTGCGAGTACAATTTGGGAAAAAGGTGGATTGGCGAGTATGGCATCATAAAGGTGGATCACTGAGTACATTCGCAAGAACCGACAAGTTTGGTCAGTGTCACCGGAGACTATGGGATGACTCGCATACCTAGTGCGTGACTGGAGGCGACAGCAGCTGCGAGCTGTTCCACGTCCATAAGCTCCACTTTTCCGGTTGAGAACTTGACCTTCCACTGATAGCGACCGCCATTTTCGAGCCAACGGTCGACATGTCCAGGCACATGCTCACGTAGCACTTGCCCCCTGTTCTTCACACTAAACTCCTTGGTCATGTGCCAGTGTGTTGGCGCGGCGGGGCTTGCCATGAAAAGCTGCTCCAGGTGCGAGACACCGAAGAACCGCGCGTCGCTTTTGTTGAACCGCGTGCGGGCAAGCGCGCCGCGGGATTTGAACTGACCTCCCGGGCGTCGTCGAACTGGCAGCACACTCAACAACGCGTCGATGCTGATCTTCTCGAGGAGCGCCATCGTCGCGACATCCATCCTGACTGGCGTGACTCAGAGCAATCGCACACATAGCACTGACGCACCATTCGAATCTAGATAAAGAACAGTCAGAACCGTCGCTGCCATGTGGGATTGAGATGAGATCAAGTACGTACATCGTCTGCACTCCATTTTGGAGACACCTCGAACGGGTCATGCTCGCTGTTGAGTACTTGAACGCGGTAGAGTGACTGGTAGAGCAGTTGGGCCTCCGAAGCGCGTCCTCGTGGGATTGATGCACCGACAGTCGGGTAAAGCTGGGCTCGTCGGCTGGAGGCGGGGAACCCGCGCCATCGTCGATGACTGCGAACGCCTCCGACATGGCGACTTTGAGAGTACAACTGAACACCAAGGCAGCAACAGGAAACCCACTACTCGCCCCAACAAGCCTCTACCAACCACCGGCAGCCTCTACCAGCCACCGGTAGCCACAGCCAACCATCGCTAGCCACAGCCAGCCACCAGCAGTCACAGGCAGCCATTGGTTGCGACAGGCATCAACTGGGGTGCACCACATATCCGTAAATAGCGTTTCCTAGTGAGCCATAAATAGTGTTCTCCGTGTAATCGGGAACTCGCAACTCATCCTTTTCGAGCCATGGACTCGCCCTTTTTCCCATTTGTACTCGCAAACCATCCTTTTTGAGCATGTACTCGAAGATCATCCTTTTTGTACTCCGATATAATCCGCACCCAGACCCAGAAATCACAACCTCGAAGTAAAATACTAATACATGTAGTACGAGGTGCAGAATGCTCGAGTAAGACCAATTAATAGAAGCAACACATAAGTAACATCCAAGCAACCGATAGAACTGTAGTAAGAATACTCTGAAACAACTTATTGCAGATTATCTCGTTGCCTTGAGCAGTTACTTCTGCGGCTGCAGGTTCACTCCAGGAGTGACAACAGCAGCAAACGTCGTCGGGTACTCAGCTGCAGCGTGTTCGTTCAATATCGCGTTCTCGCGAATACTTGCTGCCAGCACTTCGCGACGAGTCAATCCTCCACGCTGAGCCTCAATCTCTCTCAACTGCCGTTCTGTGATGGCGCAAATGAGCAACTTCTCTTTAATCGGCGATCCAGCGAGAACTGGTGGCGCAGTGGAATGCTGCAAGCGTTGCCGAGCAGCAGGGTCAGCCACTGGAGTCAGAGAAGGATACGTCTTCGCGTACATTCTGGGCTTGATCTGTGGTATGAAGAATCGACAAAACTGTGGTTGTGCAAAATACACAAGTGTCTACGAATCCGCGACAAGTTAAAAGTGCTGATACTAAAAGATTAAGCTTTCGAGTAGGTTGAAACTGGAGCGACATCTACGAACGTGGACAAAGCTCTTTCTCATTGCTGACTTGTATCCGTAGTTGGTCCGAGAACAGCAGCAATCGTGAGTGGGTACTCGGCTGCAGCGTGTTCATTAAGGATGGCGTGTTCTCGGATGATTGCGGCGAAAAGTTCCTGGCGCGTCACGGCTCCTTGCTGGGCTTCAAGTTCTCGTAGTTGACGTTCCTTTCGGGCGCTGAAGAGAAAATCTTGATCGAGTGGCGTGCCTTCAGGAATTGGAGGAGCAACAGCGTGCTTCAATCGCTGTCGAGCATCAGAATCGGCCACAGGTGTCAAGGAGCGATACGTTCTGGAGTATGCAAGCATAAGAATTGTCTGGATAAAGCAAAAACGAAAATGCAAAGCCAACTGTGGCAGCAACAAATTCCAGAAGGCAGCCATCAAAGCTCGATGGGTGGCAAACTGCCATTAAAAAAAAAAAAGAGTTTCCTTGGTGAAGACGTTCTTGTATTTTATTTCTACTCGCCCTGTCCTTCTTCCTCGATGCCCCGGGAGCTCAAAACTTAAAATCAAAATAAAAGTCACACGCCAACAGCTTCCGAGTCACCTTCGTCTTGCATCGCGTAGAAGATGAAACTCTGTTTTTGTACCCAAGACGAAACTTGTCCATAGCTAAAAGAGTGCGTACAATATAATGCTTACACGACGCCACCGCTAGGTTGTCGACCCAGCAGCGAATGGTTCTTGCGTCGATCACTATAACTTGGATACACTGCCTCACTCTCGTTGCTGTTTGTCCGGCTGAGGTTATTCGTCGTCGAGGGTGCTGCCAATGACGGGACATTGCTGACTTGTTGCTGGTATCCCATGGGCTTCGGAGCCGCGTTCTGGTTGCCATACACATTGGCATAAGGCTGTTGCTGTTGCATGTTCTGTGGAGTTGTGTAGGGGTGTCCCGTGTTGGGGTTGTACTGCTGCGAGGGTGTGGGCGCCTGTCCGTACGCTTGTTGCGTCGCATTCACTCCGAAGCCTCCCGCCGACTCCGTGCGTACAAATTGTGTATGGGCGTGAGCATCGTTATCCATACTCTGTTGCATGGCAACTGCCAGATCCCGCTCGTACTCCTTGCGGAAGTATCGGATTTTCTCGGCGCGTCCTGCCGAGCTCAAGTACCCGGTAATTGATAGGATAATAACCGACGCTAGACACACCCAGAAACTGTATCCATAGAACCAGCAATGCCACTTGGTGTTGTTTGCCTTGCAGCTCGTGTACGCCGAGTGGATGGTGTCAGTCTCGTACAGTGTCTGTTGCAATAGTGCGCCCCAAATAACTAAAGATATCGCCAAAAGTAACGCTATGATCACAGAAAATAAGAAAAAGAGTTAGAGTTTTGTCACAAAATTGGCAAAAAAAGTTAAAAAAACTAATTCACTCACAGCCAACAAGAGTGCAAAACGACACAACGCGCTCCATGTACCCGGCTGACGGGTTGAAGACTGCTCCGATGGACGTGAGAAGCCCCACCACGGAGATGGCGGCGCCTGTGGCCGTCGTGGCCTGTACCGACTTCATTCGCTTGCCGCAGAGCACCTCGTGGAAGTCGACGCCGTCGCCCAACATGTAGTTCGGTGTTGTGTAGTTTTCCACGCAAAAATCCGAATATTGCAACACGGTGGCTGAGGCGTAGAACGGCGACTCGAGGCTGTTGGTAGAGTAGAACGCGAAGAGTCCGTATCCCTGATACACGTTGTTGCCATCGCGGCGATAGTGCTGCTGGAACCACGCCGGGTAGACCATCGCGTAGAACGCGGTGCCGACCGACACGAGGGAGAGGAACACCGCTGCAAATAACGCCAATTAAACGCGTTAGTTTCGCCAGATCAGGGCAAAAGCGAGTGGAAATTTCACGTACTCAAAAGGGTGTTTTTCATAATCATGGTGGCCGCGATGTGTGTGTGAGAAGCAGGAAGAGAATGCTATGGCCCGCGCGGATGCCAAGTGGGTGTACGCGCCTGTAGGAGGTCGCCTCAGAGCTCGTTCCTCGCGCTCGTTTTGCCTTCGACGCCACTACAGGAGAAGTGACGTGCGGAGAGTGTGGAGTCTGATTGTCGAAATATAGAGATACAGTGATGGCTTCTTTTAGATGATTTGACATGATAAATGAATGGTTTTTACATATTTAAAGATTCTAGAGCATAACTGACTGGATTTCGCACAGCTGCTCGTGAGCAGACGTGGCTAGGGTGGGAACAGAGGCAGTCACAAAACAAGATAGGTACGAAATTTAATATAACAGAACAGGGTTTTAGGCAAAGAAAAAGGCTTGGATTCAGTATTTAAGAATTTGTAATCACCGAATTTTGCTAATTAAAAAGGAAACCTTTTTGCAGCGATGCCAAAATTTTCACCTTGTATTTGAGAGCGTGCCCTGGAAGTTGACAAACATAATGACGGTAAAGACCACCGCTTGGTCATGGAGAAAGGTGGAGGACCAACCTCGCCTCCTCGTGCTTGCCGCAAGGCAACGACGCCAGCCTGTTGTCGGTGCAAGTCGCGCGCAGATCGCAGTTATCAGTTTTGGCCCCAACGTTTAAGATAGCCTAGTTATCTTCCACTATGCAGATCAAATGTATCACCTTGGAGGGTCGGGCAGAATGGATTTTGTAGAGTCCAACGACCACATACGCTTCATGGCTGGCAAGACCAGTAGCATAATATTTTTCTCAGCACCTCTTGCAACTCAGGTGAAAAAAAAACGTAAATGCTATCGTCCATGCGCTGAGTACAGGTATATGAATTGTCCAGGTGGCCATCCATGTATTGTCCAGGCTGTAAAATTACCGACCTGAAAATTATAAATTACGGGTTGTGTAAAATACATGTATTATGCATGTAAAATGTCCATGCTTCTCAACGATTTTGAGGGCTACCACAGCCACTCACTTCACTTTCGATAAGCCGGAGCTTCCGGTACCGTCGTCGCTGTGCACGTCGTTGCCGCCCTCCCCCGCTCCGATATGTCGGATAGCAAGTCTGAAACTCCCCCACTGGAGCCTCCCGCGCCCTCTTCACTGCCGACGCCGCCATCACCGGCCTCAGAAACCGCGACAGGTCAGCCAGAGGTGCGTTGCATAACTACCTGATCTTATACGTATGTCGGTTTTGCTAACTACGTGCCCTCAACAGGCTAGCTCGAGCGAAGAGGCGTCAGATGCTGCTCCTTCCGCTCCTACGAACTCTGCAGAAGGCTCTGAGAACTCCGACGAGTCGGGCATGACAATGCGGAACGTCCATGCAGCGTCCAGATTTCAGATTGTCCAGTGCCTGTTTGTGCCCCGGAAGCCCTTCACTCAAGCTGGGCCGACTGGGCGGTCTATTTGAAGAAGTACGCATCTTCAATGCGGCAGATCATCCGAGTTTCCATGACTGTGAGCTGCGACTTGCGGAACAAGCGGTTGGCTAAAACTGTCGCTGCACGAGAAGGTCTTGACGTACCATACGTTCCGACCCAGTGGGCAACGTACCAGCGCACATATATTTGTACGCATGGGTGGCGGACGAAGGATCGGAGCACAGGTGTGCGGCCGAAGCAGTTTGTTCGTGGCACTGGGTGTCCTTTTCAGCTCGTGGTTCAAGTCGTGGAAGAGGAAGGCCAGTGGCTGCTTCGAGTGAAGAACGGGGTTTACCACCACAACCACGTCGTGGGTCCCGCCCACTTAAAAAAAAACTTACGCAGAGAACCAAAAGTTGGAGGATTCTGAGACAAGGTCCACCGTGCGCGAAATGGTGAAGTACGGTCGCAAGCGCGCTTGGATTTTACGAGTACCTGCTTGACAAAGGGGAAAGCCTGGTTAAGAAAGACGTGGACAACATTGTCCAGCGTGTCAAGGCCGAGTTTCGAGGCGGACGCGACGATGATGATACCTGCGCACAAGCACTTACCGAGTTTGCAGCGATGGATGGCAACGTGGCGACTGTGGACGAGACTGACGCTGGGCACTCCGGTGTCATGAGCATGACTTCGAGGCACCAGCGAGACATGACCGTACGCTTCCCCGAGTTGTTGCTAGTGGATTGTACTCACAAGACCAACCGGTAGGTTATATCTATGTATTGTCTAGGTTATTGTATATGTATTGTTCATCTATTGATCTTTATCTCATATCAATCTGCTCGTGTGTTCTAGGTACAACTACCAACTGTGTACTTTGATGGTCATTGACGATAACGGTCAATTCAACATTCGCTCATCGAACGAAATGCCGACTGGCACATGTCACGTGTTTTAGATCACCTGTTGCGGGTAGATGATAAGATCGGCGAAAAGGTGCAAGTTATCATGGTCGATAAAGACTTGCACGAGATTCGCGTACTGAAGAAGTACTTCCCCAAGGCGCGTGTGTTGATCTGCTTCTTTCATGTGATCAAGTACCAAGTGGTGGTATCTGGAAAACACAAGGAGCATTATGTGGACTTGTCAAACTGGAGCTGTTCGTGTTCCTTCGCGTGTGCTATGCGTTTACCCTGTCAGCATGCTATCGCCTACCGAAAGTGGAAAAAGGTGTCCGGAAGTGTCATTCCATTGAGTCGGATCCATGAGCGGTGAGTAGCTGAGCCTATGGCGATGTCCATGTATTATCCATGCATCGTACATGTTTCGTCCAGTAATTAACATGTCGTGCTGGCATTCCCTTCGATACGAATGTGTACAGGTGGTTACATCCTGCAGAGCTAGAGCAGATGCCTAGACCTATAGTTGTAAATGAATTCAAGCCTGGCCAAACAAAGCGGAAGGCACTCGATGCAGCGACCAAGTACAGACAGGCGCTCAGTGCTACACAAGCAATCTGCAACGAACTGGCAGATATAGAGGACGAGGACGAGTACAAAGAAAATCTTGATTTTCTTCTCAAACAGTGGGCGAACATTAGACAGCGGAAGCGTATCAAAATCACAAACTCGAATCCTTTCGTGGAGACTGATGGCGATGACCAAGACACGAAATCACCAACAGAACTGTCGATCAGGTTGAACCCGAAGGCTGCAGAGACCGGAAGACCTCGTTTAAATACGAAAGAGCGCGAGGCCGAAGACAAGAAGAAACGGGCACTGTTTAACGAGTCTGAGGAGCATCGCCGAAAAATGGGGGAAGTTACTCTAGTACAGCTTGCTCAAGATTTACAAAGGGAGAAACCGACACTCCAGGAAACGCTAGACCGCGTAAGCCCAATTCCTACCAAGTGGGATAGAGCGAGTAACAAGAAACCGAAGTATGTTCGACAGAGCGCCCCTGTGCTGAGCGACAACGCGTTCTATCTTCGCCCGAAGAAGCTCCTGGACAAGTGCCTCTCCGTTCTTCCAGTGAAGAACACAAGAGAGACTGCAATCGAGATCTTCACCCAGAGCCAGCCTTCGCAAGCTGAAAGTGATGACACGCAATTACGTGGACAAGACCTGGAGATTCATGGACAAAACCTGGAGATAGAATGTGTTCAAATTTCAGGTATTGGAACATTTTCACGAGCCCACATTGAGGCAATGTGTTATCTGTCGACTATGAAGGACCAATGCGAGCAAGGTGTCAAATTCTGCACTTGGCTGCTTCAAAACGTGATAAGCACCATACCTTCAGTGCAACATCCTGTGTTGGAAAACATGGTAAACCAAGTGGCGAAATCGAACCCACAGAGCACAATTGTGATCGAGGCCACTGAGTATCACTACGCGATGCTATACCGCTTGAAGCCACCATCCTGGGCGAACGACGCCTTGATACATGCTTTCTGCACAAGACTGTGTGCAACAAACCCTACTGCTCGTGTTCTAAGGATTGAGAGCACGGTGACGGGGCGAAATGCCGAGGGCATGAATGAATCCCTCAAGAAAAAAGCGCAAGAGCTGGTGGGAGAGGCAGACCTCCTTATGATCCCGGTTTACGTCGGAAATTCGCACTGGTGCGGAATTGCAGTAGATGTGAAGCGAACTCGAGTCCTTTATTATGACTCCATGAACCAGAGGACTTACAAGACCGTGCTGGATCGACTGTCCTGGGATTTGGCGAAAACCCTGAGCGACGACTTTGAGGTTGTATCCATCAACGCGCCAATTCAGACGGACGGCCACAACTGTGGTTTCTTCGTAATGCTACGACTCTGGCGAATGGTAGACAATAGCATTGCGCTGGATGTAACTCCAAAAGGTCTCACGATATTGCGCTTTCACATGCTTCAGCTAGTGCTCCATGGTAGATCTAACTAACCCATCTAATTTGAGTCTAAATACACGGAGGATATCTGACCAATGCATGGACTCGATACATGGACTATAATACTAACGTTACCTGTGTTCGTGTTCATGGCTAATGCACGGGTGATTTATGGATTATACGTGGACTCAATACATGGACTACAAAATTGACAATGCAACTTAGCAGCAACTTGATGCGGTGAAAAACCGATCGGCGGTAAATACTTGATTTCAGTAGGGATATAAATTACGCAGAACGTACTGGCGTGGCTGCATGGTAAAAGCATACAGTCGGCGCATGGACAGTAGCATCTGCCAAAAAAAAAACAGTTTGCTTTGCGGTGACTTCAGTCATGCATGACTCACGTGTCAACAAGTCCTCTGTGGCAGTCAGTGACTGCCCGTCACTATTACAGTAGTATTTTGCAAGTCAAAAAGTTCAGAAATGTAGCCATCTCCACTTCAACATTCCCAATTTCTTCCCTAGTGGACCCTTGGCTGTACTTGTATCGCTCTAGCGATGAAATCTAGCGCTGCACCGACCAGAGGAAAGTGCACGAAACAGGGCTGTGGTCACTGCCGCGCAGCTCGTCGTTCAGCGCCCGGTAATTATCTCGTACAGTGTCCGAACCAAAACTACTTCTGCCCAGACTCGAGTCCGAACACTCAACTTGCTCCACCTTAAAGCAGTTTTCCCATGGGGAATCCGCTCGAGAGCAATACAATATGCGGTCGCACCAGCCAGGAACACGCTCTCGGACTCTCCCACCTTTGTAGAACGGTTCACGATAGGTAGTTTGGTACACGTGCTGAGCCCACCGCGTATCTCGCCCCGTTCCGGTGGTAGAGCCACTCAGAGGCAGTCGTGATCGCGATGCTACCTTCTTATACGTCGGGTAGAATGTAGGCCACTTGGCCGGTTCACGGAACGATTTTAGACCGGGCACGTGCTTTAAGTCTTCGGTCATACTGTCGTAGTGGTCGTGCAGTTCTTGCAACCGACCGGCAGTCAAATAGTGTAGCACTTCGCTGCCTTCCAGCACCTGGATCCGATAGTTAAAGTCTCCCATCCAGACCACGTGGTCGCTACACTTGGCAAGCGTGGTATTGAGTTCCAGAGACCTAGGGAGAGCACGAGCAAGTTTGTCCAGTTGTCTTCTTCTTCGCTCAATTTTGTGCGCTTCGAGGTGGCAGTTGACAAAAGTAAGAGTCTGCGGGTCTCCTGCCACACGAATTGTGACGGCGACTCCTCCTTTTGAGCCCGTGAACTTGTGTAAACCTGCTGCCACGACCTCAAGTTGGCCGTGCAGATGACTAGCGTAGTATACAGCGAGCCCTGTGGACTTTCGACGGATGAAGGCGTGGTCACCGCGGCCTCGAATTTCTTTCTCCCCCGTCTCTTTGTTCCACCACGAACAACCTGCGTCGCTGTCTTCAGTATCCCCTGGTGACTGAGGAGAGGGCACGTCTCCGCAGCAAAAACTCGCGTTGGGACTGTATGTACCGCAAGGCAGCTCACTGGTACAGAAGCTCGACAATCCTACAGAGCTAACGTTACCAAAGTCCGACGATTGATACGTCCGCCAGTGCTGGCACTCGTCTTCTCGTCGTCGTCGACTATGTAGCCATCTTCGTTTTGCTGTCAACTCCAGACGTTGATACATTTGCTCAGTATTCTGTAAACTAGCTACCGGCTGCTGGTTGAGTCGTGCGAGTACAGCAGCATGTAAATGCTTGGTGACCTTCTCCTGCGTGCCAATAGCGTAAATATCGTACCCTAGCGGCAACAATTCTCGTAAAGTTTCAGCTGCCAGAACGTCGCCAATGTACTGTCCACGTCTTCGATGTGCAAAAGGGTCTTTTGCAGCCATGTTCCAAGTGGCAACAAATATCCGCAACGGCACCTTAGGCAACACTGCGCGTGGAGATCCCGACGGACTCGGACACGTTTCCGGTGTCAAGGCAAAGATCTCGTCATCGAAATCGTCGTCCACCTCATCGAGTCGATCCGGCGTCACGTATTTTGCAGCAATGGCGTCCGTCTCGGTATCCTCCGCGTTGTTATCATCTGCCACAGCATTATTTTTCACGCTCTCATCGTCTACAGACACAATCTCTGAGGTCACTCGAACAGGCAACGTCAGAAAACGAGAAGCGGGAGATTCCAGTTGGTAGTGAAACGTGTCCGCGTCCAGGTCTTGTTCGAACACTTCACGCGTGGATTCTTCGATCTCGTTGTCAATGGCTTCTTCACTTGCGTCTTCAGTCTTGAAGCTCGCATTGTCGAGCTGGTTGCTCTCGAGGCTGCGTTGACGTCGGATGTATTCCTCCCACTCGGCTTCGGCGTCGCTGTCGTCGTACGGGACGTCGTTGCACCAGCCTTTCGAGGGCTTGGAAGTCGTCGGATCGTAGCGACCCAGTCGCAAACCCCAGAGCGACGGCATCTCGTCGATCGGAAAATGGCCCCGCGAGTTGGGTGCCTTTCGTCAGCGTCCCATGGGTCGACTACCCCACAACGGCTCGCAGCATCCAACTCGCTATTTCCAACGCGAGAAAAAAATGCCTCTTACTTCGGAAGATGTCGAGCACTTCAAAGCTCAAACAACATCCCAAAGCTGCCAAGTACTACATGTAGAGGCAACAAAACTCGGGATGGGATGAGCACTTGACTCACCTCTAAAAATTTTGACGCACTGAAACCACCTACAACTTGGATACATTTGCGTCTATTGCTCCTTCGAGGCTTAACTTTATTTAGAGGTACCAAACATGCGAGCAACCCACGACATGTTGCTGTCTTCAGTCTCCTTCAAGCCTTCAGCTCCATCCTCACGCTGCGTATTCGTTCTCCTCGACGCCTGTGCTGGTTGCCGCGTCGTCTTGTCTCTCCTCCAGTTCGGTCTACTGTCCCCGTCCTTCGTCTGCTGTCGGAAGCGATCGCCGTCGAACTGGCCTCGTGACGCAGAGCGACGGCCGTTCGCAGCCCCACTGGACCAGCGCGTCTTCTTGTCTTCTCGGTGGTACGTCGTGTTCACCAGCCCTTGCTCCACCAGCTCCAACACGCGCGTCTTCAGCTCCAGCGCCAGATCTTTCTCCACGAACGTATCTTCGAAGCGGAACGACAGCCACAAGTACAGATCAATGATCTTGGCCTTGATCTCCACGTCGCCCAGCGCTTCCGCCGTCCTGGGAGCGTACTTTGGCAGGTAGATATCCAGCCTCACACTCTGCCCCAACGAGTGCGCACGGGCGTACTCTAGAAACACCCTCCGCGCCAGTGGGTTACGCAGCCCCACAGGCGACATACAGAACGTAAATCTGTCGGACAGCGTGAGCTCTGTCTCCCTCAACAAGGTCGCTGCGTCCTTCATATCCTGGTGGTTGCACATAAAGTAGTCTCCGTCCAGTCGAGCCAGCATGACGTACTTGTCCACGAGGTCGGCTAGATCTGTAATTCCCGGTAACTGTCTCGCGAACTCCTCCATCTGCTCCGAGGACGGGAAGAGGCCTGCAGACGTCAGGGGCGTCGGCACCTCGTCGTACGACTCCTTCAGATACTCCAAGTCTTCTTCCAGCACACACGTCGCCTCGCCGGACGCAAAGTCGCTACCGTATCGACCTGCTCGACCAGCGATCTGTTTAGCCAGGGAAGGCGGGATATCGATCATCCCGCCACTGCTGCCCGAGTATTTCTTGACCGTGGCGAACACGACACGTCGGATATTGAGGTTGAGCCCCATCCCGATGGCATCGGACGCCACCAAGATGTTAAAGTCGTTGTTACGGTCGTTAAACAGCCGAGCTTGTTGCGATCGCGTCTCAGGCGGCAACTGGCCGTAAATAATGCAACATTTCTGGCCTGTTTTTACCTCAATGTCCCGTTTTATCTGGAAAATGTCCCGACGCGAGAAGGCCACAACGCAATCGCCCGACCGAATGTGGCTGTAGGACGCCAGGTGCGTCGGAGCGATCTCCAGAGGAGACCGACGCTCGTACGACCGCAGCTCAAAGTCGTCCCCCGTAGTCTCTGCGAACTTCTTGACGAGGTGCACGGCCTCCCCCGAGCCGCACACGTGGATCTCGTTCGCCTGCAGGCCGAAGAGCGCGCGGGTCCACGCCCACCCACGCTGCGGGTCGCCGATCAGCTGGATCTCGTCCACCACAGCCACGTCCCACGGGCGGTTGATGTTCGCCATCTCGACTGTACACGACACGTGGGTCGAGTACGGCACGAGTTTCTTCTCCTGTCCCGTGACGAGAGACGTGTACAGGCCGTCCGCGTTCAGACGCTCAAAGATCTCGAGTGCCAGGAGACGGAGAGGGCCACAGTAGATGCCTCCGTCTTCTCCTGCCTGTTTGAGTCTCTCCAGCGCTTGATGCGTCTTGCCACTGTTGGTCGGGCCTTCGTGGTAGATGATCTTCCGCTTCATTGCTGTGGCGAATGGGTACATTTCGTGAGGTAGTCTCAAGTCAGTGAGTTGCTGGAGAGACAAGACGTTGTCGTTGTCTTGGTCGGTGGGTAGATAGCTGTTGGCTTTGGCGTAGTCCACAAAGTACGGGTAGAAGATGAAGGAGTTGTGGCGCTTGACGTCGTCCAAGTCCTACATAATCACAGGATATTTTAATGTATCGGCTTCTAGAGCTGCAAAAAGAGCCAAAACACACAGCGTTCTCGTACCCGTCCGAAGGCCAAGAGTTCTTGTTGGTTTTTAAAGTACTTGGATGGCTCGGAGAGGAAGGATTTGCGAAAACTAGCGGCTGCGATGGCCCATTCCGCCTGGTTCATACCTGCCTCCACTACGAGCTCCTTGGCTTCGTAATTACGCGGGAAACTACGCATCCGTCGGTGCACGCGTTTGGCTAAATCTGACGGCCATTTGACGCTCTGGAGCTCTGCTTCGACGGCGCTAGATGAGAAGTGACGCTGGGAAGGAATGCAGTGGGTTACTTGGGCATAGCTCGGCTTGTAGATCGAGTTGGGGCTGCAAAGAGTCGCTGTTAGAACAGTAGCGAGCTGTACAGAAGGGTGGTGCGAGCGAAAGGGTGTTGCTGATGCTCGCGCGGCCTTCGAGAGCGAGCAAGCGATGCGGAGCATGCTCCTGTTGCCCGACAGTCGATGAATGGCAGACTGTGGCCATGAGGCGAAGTGTGGACCACATGATGGTATCGATTTATTTTTCAATGAAACATAGTTACTATTTTTGATTACAAGATAAAAGTAATATTTTAGTTGATTAATAAAGCAGTTCCTGGTAACTTGTAAAAATCGAAAGGTTTTGCAGAAACGCAGCAGCAAATGTTGTATCTTTGCAAGAAGTATAATCCTAATACGCCTTGTTATTCTGTATAATCTCAGTGTCTTGCGTCGTGTAGCTTCGTTTCTTGCGCAGTGACTATCACGCCGAGATTTACATCAATTGGGCTGACGGCATGACCGTTGGCGCAACAGCTTTCGGATACTCCACTTCAGCATGTTCCATCAGGATCGCGTGTTCGCGGATTGTGGCAGCGAGTACTTCATGGCGTGTCACCATTCCGCGCTGGGCTTCAATTTCACGTAGCTGTCGTTCGATCCTGGCGCTCAATAGGAAATCATCGTTGATCGGAGTTCCAGCATCTATCGCAGGCGCAGCTGCATGCAGTAGGTGTTCGCGAGCAGTAGGGTCAGCCACGGGGGCTAGTGCGAGGTACGTCTTGGAGTACTTCGACATTTTGTTGCCTGCTGGCGGGAAATCAATGGGATACTGAGCAAGAAATGCGGGACAAGACGAGGAATTGTTCTCAAACCGATTTTTGATTGCATGTACACGATCGACTCTTTTAACCCCAACACCTTAAAGTTACGAGCAAATTTATTATTTCACGACCCTGAAGTCAACCGCAAACCCTTAGGCGAACAAAACGTTCATAATATCGATCTAAACCTGCACAAAATGCTCCTGATAATCAAGACACCATGTTCTTAAACATAACTAGATTGCCCTAAATATTTCTTAAAATAGAAGATAGTAAGAGAGAGTTGTTTATCAAAAATAAATTGTGATTCACAGATTTCCTCTTGAGATTCGACGATATAAGGAGGGATGCGAGCTTTTGTGGATCTACTACGCTCATGCTGGGAGGGATTACATCTCTGTAGAATTTAGTCTAGCGCTCATTTTATTAAAAAAGCGAGGCGACCTGGATATGATGAAAACATTTTTTTTAATAGCGTGATCTAATTAGCGTTGCCAGTTTTCGACTTCAATACAATGAATTCCGAGACTACACGGTGCAGGATAGCACGTATTTGAAGCTGTCATTGCTGATAATGTCTTCCCAGAATGAGCAGTGTTAGCTGCACTCATTCTAGGAGCGCGAAGTACCCCATTCGTAGCCTTGACCTTGCTATCAAGCACCGGCAAGTTGCTCTACACAGACAAGGTTAATCAAGTTAGGCAAATTGTGAGGCGCTCATCAGGTTGAGCAATGGTTGTCAAAAGTTACGGTGGACTGAAGGTTATAATGCCCGTATTATATAAAAATGATTTTGATGTGTCGACAAAAAAATTTGAGGGAAAAAAAGTTGACTAGTGAATATGATTCTAACAGAAGAGAAACGTCGGCTTGGCCGCCTTCGCCTGGCACATGCGCTCTGCGCGCTTATTGCCCACAATTCGCTGCATTCTCAGTAAATCCAGCCGCGTGAATAATGCGATCGAAGACTTGCCGTCCGTACTATCAGCAAGTCCATCGTCGCTTTGTCCCGCTGAGTCGCTACTTTGCAGCATGTTCATCATCTCCGCGTAAAAGTCGCCCATCACAGGCAGTCCATACCAGATGAGCTGATGCACGCCACGAATCTGGTACTGGTGGTAGAAGTGGAACCGTTCCGTGTAGAGCATGACGTGGCAGTGGCCGTGGTAAAAAGACGTCCGCGCTCTCGAGACCTGTTTGCTGGTCGTGTACTCACAGCACTGCACACTGCGGATCAGCTTCTTGTTCATCGTGTCGTTAAACAAGTTGCGCACTCGCACATAGTCAAAGTAGGAAGGGATGAAGATCAGCACGTGCTTCCGTGGATGGTCCAGGAGCGGGTCAAACACGTGCTTTTTAAAGTACGCAAAGCGGATTTCCACTTCGTGCGCCGCTGTGAGGCGTCCAGAGTGCTCGAGATCCACACGCTGGAAGATCTGCTTTACCTGCGGCACCACGCGGGAGATGGACGCGGAGCCATCCGCAGCGTCGTATCGACGTGTATACTTGACGACGCCAGAGATGTTGCGACAAGTCTTGTTCACCAGCGCGTTGAGAGCAGGCTCGGCGCCGTGAGCAAAGACAATAGTTTGTCGGAAGTACGAGGCCAAGAAGGCCAAATTCCACTCGCGAACTCGAGAAAAATCCGCGTTAGGCGCCTCTTTGGGCTGCAGGTTCGTAGCACGCAGCACCGTGCGCAGATGCTCCAAGTTCTGCATGGCCATGAGGCTGGCCGAGTCCACGATACACACCTCGATGGTCGACAAAAAGTCGCTGGACAACTTGACGTCGTCGCTGGTCTGTGCGTCGACCAACTCGGCCACTTCATCTCCGAGTTGTTGACGCAGGCCAAGAGGAGACGCGAGGATGATGTCGGCGTGGTGATACTCGCTGTAGAAGCGCACAGCCTTGCGGGATAAAGATATTCCTAACTGGAAACAATCGTCGTTGTTGCCCTGTTCGAACACGCGTTGCCACTCCTTCTTGTCGTCGTTGGAAGGCTCGTCATCGTCCGGGATACTGCCGAATTCACTGACGAATCGGTCCTTATTGTGATAAGTATCCACGTTGGAGGGCAAGAGCTGCAGTAGCTGGTCCACAAACGCCACCGCAGAGCTGCGTAAAGGCAGCAACACCAAGACACTGGCACGACAGAGTCCCTGGTCACGGTACTCTTTCTCCTCGTCGCTCTGCTTTTTGATACGCTCATTGTTACGTGTGACAGTGTCACGAGCCTTCAGCACATGGTTCAGCACGTGCATGGCACTCAGTTGACGTAACTTGGCCGTGTTCTCGTAGGTCTGGCCAGCGAAGTATACGTCTGTATACACTGCCATCTGTTGCGAGAGTGTATACTCTACTGATCCCTTCGGGAACACCGTTTCAGCGTCCAATCCACGCTGCTTCCACGTTGCCAACAGCCTCGAACGCACGTACGGCTTCTGCTTGGCCGCGCACTCTGGCGTCGTCACTACACCGTCAAGTCCACGGACCTCTTCGGCGCCAGCCCTGTAGGTGACGTCGTAAGCGTCATCTTGCAAAGTCGGTATTGATACTCTGGCGAACTTTTTTGTCTGGGCGTTAATTATTTTCGCATCTTGTTCGGTAAAGGAGCTTAGGAGATAGCGACGACGGTAAGGGTCTTCGTGTTCGTCTTCTTCTTTCTCATCAAGCTGCTCCTCGTCATCTTTCTCCATTGATGCAACCTGCTCCTCGTCTTCTTTAACATCGTCGATGATCTCTTCAGCCGTCTCGTTTTCTTCATCATCGTCTTCTTCGATCTCTTGACCGTTCTCATCCACCAACACTTCTTCAAACTCTTCTTCTTCATCTCCATCATCGTCTTCTTCTTCAACGGGTTCAGACGTCCTGAAGGTGTTTACGAACTCAGCAAATATCGAGTTCTTCTTGTTAAGAACGTTCTCGTCGTCACTGTCACTGTCCTCACTCTGCGATTCATCTTCTTCTACTTCTGCTTCTTGCCCTACTTCTTCGCTATCTTTCTTGTAAATTGCATTGGCTGTGCGGTCCCAAGTTTTCTCGTATTGCTCACGTTGCATTGTCTTCTTTTCGCCCACATTGGAGAAGAATTTACGCGTTTTCGTTCGCTCCGCAATCTTCTGCGACTTCCATTGGCCCATCATGGACCCAGTTTTGCGCGGTTTGCCCTCATTTCCGCTGGATACAGCGCCACCTTTGGCTTTTGGTTCAGCGTCGTCCCATACATTGGCCTTGCGCTTACGGCTGCCCTTCTTCTTGCCTCCTCCCTTGCGTGGACCCATGCTGGTCAATGATACAATGTTACTCAAATGGCTGGCAGGAGGCAAAAGCGTGCCGTAATTGGATAAAACCATTTTCAGCCAATCGTCAGCTGAAACTGTGGTACACATAAATTTGTTTAAATTTAGGAAGATGAGCTCGCACCCTTTCGTGAAAGATGGCTACACTCGTGACACCTTGACGTGGGTGGTGTTTATTGAGGCCTGTTGTAATGGGAACAATGGACACGGCGGAAGCGAGAGAAATTACGCGCTGTATGAGTGACGAGGAAGACCAACCGACGCAATTTGCGCGATTTCAGGCACCAAATGGGGATGATACCGAGAGTTGGGCTCCTCAGTCTGTGGCCAGCGTCCTGCAGCGAGTTCAAGAATCTCCAGGCGATGAGTACGTGGAGTAGACACAAGATTGTATAGAGCAAGGTATTGACATATTGCATTGCTGATAGAGTGAGTGTGGAGCTGCTGGTGCGTCAGCTGGAGCGTATACCCAACGAAGCACGAGCACATCAACTCGTGCGTCTGCTGCTCGAGTCACGGGAAGAATCGATCCCGAAACATGCTGTACTCGGAATTTGGGGGAAACTTGTAACGGGGAATACAACTAAGACGCCAGGGAAAGCTAGAGCAAAGAGTGCGACCAACATTCCCATTATTCGAAGTCGATTACTTGAGGTCCGATAGAATTCATTTATTTTTTTCTTTAATTATGCTAACAGATATTTGATCTTGGTAGTCAAAGCGAAAGCAAGCAGAGTGCGATCTCAAGTTACTACAAAATCGCATTACATTGCTTCAGGTGCGCTTTGAGCTGGTTAGTTAACCGGTAGGAATTATCTGACAGTTTCCATGGTAGCAAGAGGAGTGCAAAGCGTGGAAGAAGATAGCACAGACAAAAGATCGAGCACAAGAAATCCTTGAAATGCGCTTAGCCACGTTACAACGGAAGGAAGAAAAGTCGATGCACCAAATAGAGCGCGAACGACAGTCGCGATCTGCACAAAAGAAGCACAATGGCCTCAAGAAGGAGTCGGTGATTAAGAAAAAGCACGCAGCCATTCAGATCATCTCGAAAAAGTATCAAGATGTAGAACAGGTGAAGAGCGAGAGCAAGCGCTTGAAAGCGGAACGTGAGCGACTGCAATTGCTGCAAGTGGAAGGCGCGAGAGCCAAGCGACAGGCGATCAGACGACAAGAAGATGCCCTCAAAAAGAAGAAGCTGCAGGAACGTCAGCAAGTCGATGAAGTGGCAGCACTACGACTGATGAAGAAGGCTATTGCTGAAGAACGACAGATTCGAGAACATCGCAAAAAGGTTAAGGAGATGGAGGAAGCGGAGCGCGCGTTGATCCAAAGACTCCAAGGCACACAACTTATACAACGAGAGGCCTACTCCGTGCTAGAGCGAGCTCTATTACGGACAGATTTAAAGCGCGCGCATTCCGTCGCTCCGTTGGGAGACAGATGAGCGTAAATGTTTTCAGCGCCAAAGTGGTTAGCAGAAATCAACAACTATTAGTAGTAAGTAACGCGTTTGTTTTTGGGAGGAAACAACGTTGACTTTGTGCTGCGCTCGGGTGGGAAATCGGTGGATTACACGAGGCGAGAGTCAGCAACCTTTGTGACAAATCGGAGGAGTTTTGTGTGCGTGTTCTGTGCATTTTTCAGCCTAACCCTGTGCATTTCACTGTCTTTAACATGTTGTATATACAACATGTGGAAAAACAGAACCTGGTGCCCCTTTTGGTCACATGTCGTCAAATACAACCTATAAGTACGGGGGGGGTTAAGGTTGAAGCAGACACCCCAATAAGATCGTGAGTCGCAAATCGTTTTGATTGGTTATTCTTCACTCGACCCCTACACTCTACTGTGCGGCAAGTTTAGCGCATGCGGGCAAATTGCCGCATGAGCGTCTTTTTATGAACTTCGTCGCATGCGACCACCTACCCCGTAAGCCAATTAGAAGACTCTATTTGTCCTCCTGCGGGCGCATGCCGGTCTATATTTTCCGGTTGAGAATGAGCCTAAGTGAAAAGGACAAAAGCATTGAAATGCACAATAAGAAACCGTGTCAGAAGGTTTGATTTGGTTGGTTTTGAATACGCGGTAGTGCCAGCTTTACTTTTCTGCACGATTTTGGCCCTCACAGCTGACGGTTGACTTAATTGGCTGACCAAACGTACTTAGTGATAACCCCTAATATTTATTAATATAGTATTACCAGTGCTTTAAAGAATGATCCCAGAAAAAGAGAATTGCCAAGTTCAAAATTTCCTTTGAATTTCCCATAATGTATTGTGCTTTGCATATATTTTGGCTAAACGGATAAAAACAACGAACTGTAATTGCAAGGGCTAGGTATAACAAACTAAGAATTAGCAGGTGACAACCAGATAGATATCACGGCGTGATTCACGCCTCCGTAAATATAACCAATCAAAAGCTCAGACACAAAAGAAGGGTTCGTTTTGAAAATTCGGAGTAGATTCGGCTTTTAAGTCTCACTCTTAAGCAATTCAACTCCACTATGGCGGTGAATCCTCTGCCATCCAGCAGTTTGCGTCAAACGACGCGATAGTCAGTGTAGATTTTGACTAGCGACGAAAGCATC